CCTCATGGATCCCAGGTCTCAAAGCAATTTATTAAGCATACTATTAACTTCATTTTACAGAATATAATGAAAACATTCTAGAAAAGAACGCAAGTGAAGAGCAAGATCTGTGATCTCTACATTCTGATATTCTCACAAACCTGGGCCCTACATTCTACAGAGCTGCTTGCCAACATTTCTCCAAGTTAGGAAAAGACTCCAGAATGATGCTCTCCTGGCCCACAGGAACCCTCTAAGGAAAATGGAAAGACACTTTCTTTCACCTGGCCTGGAGAAGAACCAACCATCTGTTTTATGCTATGAGTCTTCAGGTAACACCCAGACTATTCACAGTCATAGTGTCAAAACATATTTTACAACTAAAGTTAATCTCATTACACATGATGCCAGGATTACAGGTCACAGAAAGCCACTGGTAATTCAAGTTTGTAATTTTACATGCATCTGTATTATATATCCATAGAATAACTCTAGAAGGTTATACAAAAACCTGATGACATTGGTTGCCAACTGAGAAGGGGCCTGAGATGAATGAGGGCAGGAAATGGGAGGAAATTTACTTGTCACTACATACTCCTTAGCACAAATTGGTTTTGTAAACACACATTACCTGTTGAAGGTTAAATAAACAAGTTAGATAATTTTTTTATTTTATCCCTTTTTTTTCAATCTCACTCCTGTCCTGGCCCACTTTCACCCTTCAAAGCCTCGTCCACCCTCCAACCCCGTGGCAGGCAAACTCCAAATGAACTAAAACAGTGGCCAGAGACTGCATAGAATTCAATAAGAGATGCCAAGTGCCACCAGGAAGTTTTTCAAGGTCACATCCCTTACTGAGCCAACCCAAGAAGCCAAGCAAGTCTTCTCCGAGGTAGAAGCCAACTCAAAACAGCAAACGCTTTGCCTTCTCATCTTCATTTGGAAGCACACAGGTCAAACATCCTGGCTTCAGAATCAACTAGCCAATTCTTTCCAGAGCCAGTGTGTCATGCAATCTACTCAAAAAGAGATCTAAAGCCAAGCAGTACACCACTCCCAAAGGACATCCTTTGTCCCAGGGCCTTGTGCTGTAACAGACATCTTATTTTCAGTCTCAAATCAGGACACTGAATATGCCCTGTCCTGTAAAATATAGAAATTATGAAGTAAGAGCTCATTGGAAGCAAAATAAACCTGTAAATCCTGTTAGGTTTTGTGCTTTGTTCCGAAGGATTTTTCCCCCAAAACAATGCCATTAGCACAAACCAATGACAGTCCTCCCAGACAGCACAGGAAAATCAGGGCTATACGACCCCAGGGCCATGCCATTTACTTCCTCACCGGCTGAGCTAATGCACTTTGACTATTCATTTGTGGGTTCATTTGTCCTCCTTACAAATACCTTTTATTTGACTTGTCCTCCTTACAAATACCTTTTATATGACTTGAATGTGTGCCCCACCCTCCAGGCCTCTCTTCTTCCAGGTATGCAGTTGGTCCACAGATATTCCCACAGCTGGGGAAACATGGAAAAGCTAACTCTATGCCCTATGGAGCACACAGAGGGATGGGACACTTGGGTAATTACAACACAAGACTCCCACTGGAGCCTGGGAGTAACCAGAGGAATTCCTTGGATATTTTTGAATGAAACAGGTGTTTTCCAGGCAAGGACAAGAGTAGGGAAGAACTTTCAGGCACAGGACAAAGCAAGCATAATGGCACAGAAGCATGGGATGGGAGGAAATCAATGTGGCAAGAAGGATGGTATCCCTTCTTGAACTTGGCCTTTTAACAAAAGGTTTATCTTCTAAACTTTTGAACTTGGGCAGAGAAGTCCTAATACTTGATAGCACATTGGTTTTGATTACTACAAACATGCCTCTAAGTAATGGCATCAAAAACCAGTCTCCCACATGAGAGAATCCAAGGAGAAGTATGCACAAAATAACAAAGCTAAATTTACTCCATTGATGAGCCGGGTGGGGGGAAAAAAAACAACATCAATGCCAACACAGGCTCTTCCTCAGACACGTATATTCTCCTGAAAAAGCCTTCCATTCTCTTCTCCCTGAAGCTGGTGGGTGGCCTTCCCATTACCTCTCAGCCCTCTTCTTTTGAGTAGCTTCTTTCTGCCTGCAGCTCTTGGTGTTCCCTTAGCCTCACCAAGATCAGAAGACAAGGAGCTGCACATCTGATCCCATCCACCCCTTAACATTCTGAGCCCTGACTACTAATGTATCACAGTGGAGGTGGGGCTGATTAAGTGTGTCCATATGTACTTGTTCACTTCCAGGACATTTACCTGCCCTATCTGCATCTGCTTTGTCTCCTCCTTAAACTAAGTTTAACTTTGTAAAGTTTCCTCCAGGTTGCAGTGGCGCATGCCTATAATCCTAGCAGCTCGGGAGGCTGAGGCAGGAAGATTGTGAGTTCAAAGCCAGCCTCAGCAAAAGCAAGGTGCTAAGCAGCTCAATAAGACCCTTGTCTCTAAATAAAATACAAAATAGGGCTGGGGATGTGGCTCAGGGGTCAAGCGCCCCTGAGTTCAATCCCCGGTAAACAAAAACAAACAAACAAAAAAAAAACACTGTAAGTTTCCAGAAAACAGGGATAAAATTGTACTCATCTCATCTGTACCCTCACAGAACCAAACTCCAAGCAACACTAACAGAAAATACTTCAGTTGCTTAGGTTTAAAACTTGAAAGGGGATTATAAAGTGGAACTTGGCATGAAGCCAGAGGAGGATGACCATATATGATTTATAGTTGCATCCTGACACTTTTGAGTGAAAGGGATATTATTCATAACTGTGTCTGTCCCAGGAAAAAGAGGCAAATGTTCCCCCTTGCTAGAAAGGCCATTACAAATAGATGTGAATCTGGAGCTCCCAAAAGAGCCCTAAACCCCTTTAGTCACTGATTCCAATCTTGCAGTCTGAAAGGGCCACACAGATATGACCTGTGGCAGAAAGCCCATACCAGGAAGTTCTTCCTTCTATCTGACTCACATCACTAAAGAGTAAAGTCAATGCCATTTTTCATGAACCTCAAGGTGACAGAGAATAAGGGCACAGGAAGGCAGCAACAGAACAGGAAAAACACTGTCTTGGGTTTTCACTCTTCGGTGCGATTTCCTCATTGAGCTCCACTGATAGCTCTGCATCCTTCAGCTGAACTAAACCCAGTCCGGCCGGCCCAGAAACACAAAAGCCAAGAGTTTTGGAGTTACTCCCAGTGAAAACAGAGTTCATCTCTAACCTGTCTCAAATCCCCAGGAGACTCACAAACCAAACCCAAAGAAGAAATGGTACCTGCCTACGTATTTTTGAAACCAGAAAGCTCCTCCTTCAACCAAAACTACGTCTTAAGGAGAATGGAGCTCTGGAAGGGACTGTCCACCATCCCTCCCACTCTAAGCCCCTAGAACTGGGCCAGTTGGGAAGACTCAGTGAAAAAGGGAGTGTCTATCCCTACCCACTACCCCCCCACACACACACACACACAACACACTCACACTCACTCACCAGCCCCAAGCTCCCTGTGGCAAGCTAGGACCTTGTTGACATCTTTCCAACAATACAAAAATACAAGTTTCAGATGCGGGTGAGGAAGGATCTGTGCCCAAGAGGAATGGAGCAGATGGACTCCAACAGACCCCTGACACACACTCCTCCTGTCCGGGAGCTGATGGCGAAAATTAAATGCTTCTGCCCACTCACCACCACTCTCTCCCTTTAGAACCACATACATCTGATTTTAGAAAGGAATTATTTAAGAAGCCCTGTATAAAGACAGGTTGACTCCCAGCACCCAAAGATCAGTGAAACTGCAGACAAAAACAAAAAAGAGCAAGCAACCCTTCCTGGAATGACCTTGGACTAGTCACTTCATCTTCTGGCACTTGGGTTTCTTCACCAAGAAATAGACACAATAGGGTGACATGGTTTATAAGGTTCTTTCTGGCTCCAAGGGTTGAACATTTAACTCTACATATTTCCTGAAGGAGGAACTGGCTTTGGCAAAATAAGTGAAGAAAGAGAGAACTCAGGCTAATCTTTTAATTTCCACTTTAAAAGGGAACAGTTTGAGTCTGAACGTTTACCACCTCCATGGGTCCCACCTTTTCTCCCCCACCGACCTTCACTGCAGAACTGGGAGTCTCATGAGGCAATAACATGGGCAAATTAATCTTGCCAGTGCTGATACTAACCTACAAACTTGGTTTGCATTTCCTAGCCATTAGTCTGGCCACAAAAGTGAAATTCGTGTTACTTATGATCTAATAAACCCATTGCCTGGATAGAAATATATCACTTACTGAATAATAATGTCCACCAAATGTCTTGCAGTTTTTTCAAATTCCCAAGTGCCATGAGGAATATTTCTGACCAAAATAAAGTCTTTATCTTGAAACAGGGGATGGATCGAACCTCACACCCCCACAAAAATAAACAAAAAATTCAGCCATTGCGTGCGTGCACACATGTGTGCATACACACGCACACACACCCTCTTCTTTGACTGTACAAGGACGGGGGCTGAGATTTCAGTTTTCCCCACCTTCACTGGGGTTCAGGATGGTTAAGTGTGAGGATGGTTAAGTGTGGAAACCCCCTCCGCCCGCCCCTGTGTTAAGTGCACTGCAACTGCAGGGTACTCGCCTTCAACTGAGAATACACTAAAGAAAGCCCGTTTTTTATCCAGATGTGAAAATGAAGCTGCACCCCTCCTGTACCTGCCGGAAACTAAACCGGTCTACACATACCCTGGGGAAATGTGCACTGCACCCCGAGAGAGTTACCTGGAATACGTTTGCTAAAATCGACGAGAAGAAGAAAGATCAATGCGATTCAAGGGCTGGCGATTATACTCATATGAGGGGGAAAAAAGCAAATGCAAGCCGGGAAGTCCCCAGTAGTGCCTGCACCTGGGAGGCGACTGCAAAGGATGGATGCGGGGGTGAGGAAGTGCAGAGAGAGGAAAGAGCTGGAAGGAAGAGGGCTGCAAAACTGCTCACCTGTCCGTACACCTTGATGGGCTCAGGCTGCAGGGCAGCGCTCCGTCGCGTCCGGAGCGGCTTCTCGCCCGCGGGGCTCGCCCCCCTGGCATCCCCGCGCGCCCACAGCCGCAGCTCGCGCGGGTCGCCCTGCACCACGCGGAAACCCCGGTCCTGGGGCAAGGGCGCGCGGCCACCTTGCAGTCTCTGCGTCCAGACCTCGCAGAGAGCCCCGGGCGGCAGCAACGCGACCAGGGTGAATAGGAAGGGGAGTCGCGACTCCCTCCTGCTGCTCCGTGTCGCCATGTTC